GATTTAAAAACAAGCTGAAAAGCTGACAAGAACTAATCAAACAACAAGCTGACCAGAACTAATCAAAATGTTACACATATTCATTATTATGTACGTACCTGAGGGTCCTGAGCTGCAGTCTGTCTCCTACTTCTAATCCACCCTGCCAAGATCCAAAGGCACATCTCCCCAAGGAGCAACTCTCTCCTCATTTATCAGAGCAAACTGAAGAACTAATGCCTGGCTTTCAGAGCTCTCTCCAGCCAGGACTCAGCCCACAGAGTCCTCTTATCTCTTCCTAACCCTCGGCATGACTCTCTCCAAGCATCCATCTGGTTTGTTCACGCAATTTCCTTTTCCCAGTGGATCGTCTCTACAGTCTACCTGTCCTACTTGCACAGCACAGTCATAGTGGATATTGGAGAGAATTCACCGCCAGAACCAAGGGGAGTGATTTCAGGTAACTGAAGGTCCAGGGCCAAGTCCAGTTAGCATTCTTCTGTTCACTCCAAGCAAGGTAGTATTGATGTCTGTAAGTCCACACTCATGAGGTAAAAAGCACCAGGCCACAGGCTTCACTGCATCTTTGACTTAAGGTCCCAGGTAACCTGCCATGCCCTCTGCATCACCCTTCTCTGGACAAGGGCTCTAGCTATTCAGCATGAGCTGTTGCTGCACTATGCAAATGGACCACACTAGACAGAAATTGAGGAAGCTGTTAGGATAGGGAAAAATGCTTTGCTTCTATGCAGTTGAGGACACATGGGCTCCTGGGAAATTAGGCTTATCACAGATACCATGATGCAGCTGGAGGTAAACTCCATGTTGATAAAGATTCCTCCTAGAAGCCTAAGACTTCTGGCTTCTCAGTCACCTAACACATCATGGAATGTCTACCCAAAGGGGCGCTGGCACCAGGAAGACAACCCCTTCCTAGGCACTTCACTTTGCCCCATCCCTGCCTCTTGACATCCCAGAGAACCAACTAGCTCCTCACAGCACCACTCTCGGAGGCCTCACAGCCCGAGCCCCTCTCTAGGCTCTCTACAATCTGTACCTGACACAACAGCCTGGTGGCGCATGGCAGAGCCTCAATAAATACTCACTGTCTGCCCAAGCTCCTCGGTCCTACGTTTTCATCTTGAGAAACAAGCACACACTTGGGTCTAACAGCTTAATATCTCGATTCAAACAATTACAGAGTCAGAGCCCTAGTATTCAACATATTCCTTTCAATGTTCTTTCAGGTTATTGCATGGTGTCTAATTTAGGATGAAGGTATTTATACCTGTAACATCAAAAAAATAAATAGATAAGCAGCATGAGTATAGCTTTAATTCTGCTTCATTTTGCGTAGTAGCTGAAGCTGACAACTTCATAACAAGATGTCTGCTTCCCATAAATCAGACTAAGGAATTTTTCTCCAATTATATTTTAATTCATGGATAATCATTTCTCTACAGCAGGTGGCAAGTTGAGGGGGGCTGGAAGCCAGGGAGAAAGAAGGTATGATGAACTATTAAATGACTTCCAGTTGAATTTGTACCAACAAGCATTGCAAGGATAGCAGGGACAAAAATGTGTCTGTTAACAGAAGCCAGGTGAATAGGATGTGCAACGTTAGTGTCGGCTGCATCCAGAGCCACTTCCTCAGCCAACTGCAATTTACTCTAAAACAGACTGCTCCTCACTTGGACTCTGATTGCCTTTGCCTAATTCTCCATTTCATCATGAGCTCATCCTTCTGCCTTTTGTTTAAGACTCCCAAACTGACCTTGAGATTATTCAAGTAAGTGCGCTGTCATCTGGGCCTAGACCTATGCCACAAAAATGCATTCCTCTGCATATCGTGCCTTGCTTCAACATTTGAAACATCCATGCTTTGAAAAATTAATTTAAAAGAATTTTCCCCAAAGGATCCATATGTTTTGCTGATATTTCATTCTTAAATCTGTTTGCTAAATTTTTATTAATCACATTACATGACAGACACTTTAAAATACAGAAGTGAGTAAGATGAAGTCCCTGACCTCAAAAGATTTCCAGTCTAACAGGAAGCAGAATTGTCACCCACCTGCCAGCTCAGCCTGTGCCTGCCAGCTGACCCCCTCCCAGGATAGGGAGCATCTTACCTTCCGTCCTTGCTCTTTAAACTCTCGACTCCACCTTGCTCTGTGTCTGTGACTAAAACCCAGAGCCCATCCACCACTCTTTCCCTGGGCCTGCAGCAATAGCTTCCTAAGTAGCCTCCTGCTTCTGCACCACATTCTCCACAGGGCACACACCCTGCTTTCCAAACACTCTCCTGACTGAAGCCTTCCCATGTCTTCCCGGACTTCAATGGCCGATGGGGCGCAGCAGCTGGCCCTGCACTGCCCCAACCCCAGCTCCTCCGACCCTCCTCCTAGCCTCCTTTCCACCCACTCCCACCTGCTTTCCACCTCCCATTCTGATGCTCCAGCACTCACCCTGCTCTCTGCCTGGACACATCCCTCTCCATTCTCCTCTTTCAGCTTTATGAACTTCACCTTTACTCCACTAGAGTCTCAGATCAAGTGTCCCCTCCTTAGGAATCCTTTCCTAAACACAACACTGAACGCTGCCCCCAAGACTTACTGTTTCATTCCATTTTCAGGATTTATTTTTCAACTACCTGCTGATCGCTTCTCTCCTCTAAAGTTGGATCATGTACACTAACCTTGCTGGCATTATCATCAACTTATAACTGTGCTTCACAGCAGGCTCAGAAAGGATTTGCTGACAGAAGAAGGTCCCTTACCAAGAGGAATCTAATAAGGATGGCAGCAATGCACCAGTGTGCGATGCAGAGGGACACTGACTTTTGATTGAGAGGAGGAGATAGGAACAGCTTCCAGGGAGGAGACTGCTTTGAAGTGCCCTGGCAGTAAGGCACAAACACACCCCAGGCCCTGAGCCATACAGAGGAAAATCCCCAGGCACAGGCAAGTCAAGGTGTGCCTGAGCCCTGAAAACAGTACCTGGAGTGGCCAGACAGCCTGGGGGATGCCCTCGGAGAGGAGCACAGACTTGGCGAAGCACAGGATGGAAACTATGTCTGCGACCACAGAGAGTCAGCAAAATGTACGGAGGCTGAAACCAGTGTATTCTAACCTCTCTTCATGAACACTGAGAAGAGCTATGTGAACTCAAAGATAAAGAATTAAAAAATGGTATCTCTTTGAAGAGGACTGTACATTCTGTGTTTGGGGGAGGAAACAAAGGACTTCAATTTTGCAAATGTGTAAACGTGAAAGAAACTGGGGCTCGCAGTTAGTGACCCTGTATCTCACACAAAGGTTGAATAAAGATTATGCTTTGAATTTCAAAGGTACTAAATGGCCACATCACATTTGCAAATGGTTCCAGACTAAACTGAGGCTAGAATGGTGGAAGCCAGATTCAGGATTAGCTGGGTTCCAGCCTGAGGCAGCCAAGCACTTTTCACACTGCAGAACAATCTGATCAGGCAGCATCACACAGGGTGAGCTGAACCTGACCCACGAGACCTGCATATTAAGTAAACGACATGAACTGACGAATGGCTCAATCTTAGTCACCACGAAAGGCAGTTGTTAAAACTGCAGTGTGGAATCATGGACCCCACCAAACACGCTTTCTGAAGTACTGATCACCCCATTCCTTCGACAGTGTTCTCCCCTCTCAGGTTCTTACCAATATGAGGACTTATTTGAAGGGGGATTTGTTCAGTGAGCACAACGGTCCTCGATCCCTGTGTAACAAGATGGAAAGGCTGACTGTGAAGGCAAAGGTGGCATAAGGGAGAACTGCTGTGCCTGCAGAACTCGCAGACTTGGAGCTGCACCAACTGGCTCTTTCTTTTTTAGCTCTAGCAAGGTATGGGGCCTGGGCTTCGGCCTGTAGCCTGTCAAATGCAGAGCCCAGGTCCAAGGCCCCTCCCACGGAGTGAGTGATTCTCTGCGGGTCTCTGCTTTCCACAACCCAGAGTCCTGACAGAGCTGAGCTGAGAGAGCACAGGGCTGGGGACTGTGGGAGGAGCCCAGTCAGAGGCCAAGGCCATGCAATGACCCCTGGTAGAATGAGTCAGGGAATGAAGTAGCCAAAGCACATAGTCACACAGACCTGGAAAGGCATCACAGCTCTAACTACGACATGGGGCCAGTGAATGTGGGCACGTTTCTCCAAAGTAAGTGGGGTACAGTCATGGAGAGGTCTAGGGAGAAAGGATGCAGGTACACAGCAAGATACTCAGCACAGCACCCTGCACACAGCAGCTCTGGAAGATCTCCTTCCACTCAGTCTCAGCTACTTATGTGGCTTTGTTATTTTATATGTGATTTTCCTGGTAAGAAAGATAAAATTACTGAACCTCAAAAAGCTGATAGGAACCCCCAAAACTTCTCTGTCCACTTTCCTGTTCCCAGGCATTTTCCTAATCACTGCCATCCTCCCAAGGCCATGGAGAACCTGAGCAATCAAGCTGACCGCACTGGTCACCCAGCCACCGAGCTGACTGAGGCACTCTCCTCTGTGTCCTCAGCAGTCCCTCTGCTGTCTGTTCGAAAGTAGTGAAGACAATTTCCTGGGCAATATAGTGGAGATTAAGAATCAAGGCTGTCTGTTATTAAAAATAATTTATAAGATGAGATAAAAGCATATCGCATATCAGCCAAAGGGATCATGCACTGAGTAATCAAAGTGCCAACTCTAAAATATTAGACAGTTAGGAAAATGATAATGAAGCTTGTAACAACCCTTGCCAATGCTTATTAGGTTGTTAAACAAACAAACAAAAAAAATCAGAAAGCACAATCCCACTTATGTTGTGATTTTAACTTAGTAAAATTATGTAATACATATATAGCAAGGGCTGGAAAGAAACTAGAAAAATGACTATAGCTGATGGGCTAAGGAGGTGCCGTTGCAGAAGTTATATTTTTATCCCATGACTACAACAGAGTTGGCACAATAAACACCAAGACAGCGACGATCACAGGGAAGGAGCACAGCTGTTCACTCACCCAGGGTTGTACAACATGACTGCAGACAGGTTCTCACAGGACTTCGAGAGGTCGGTCATGGACAAGCTGAAGGAGGACAGAAGGCCACTCTAAGAGCAGACACAGGGCAGAGCGGTTACCGTGGTGGGTAAGAGAAGGCCAGTGCTCTGGACTCACTGCCTTCAGCTTTCAAGGGCAACAAGACCTATGCACTCCCGTTAATGCCCAGAGCAATGGGTCTACCTGAAGACAGCAATTCAGGAACTGCCAAGGCCCTGCACTTCCCATACTCAAAGAGGAAACGTGAAGCACACAAGGCACTGGCAGTCTAGCACTGGGAAAACCCACCAGGTCCCGAGTGCTGTGGCAGGGTACACGCAGTTACAGTGGAGGCAGAGCCACAGCATCTCTGTGACCCCCACTCCCCAGCAGGCAGTGGCCCCTGCCATCAGTGTGCTCACTCGTACTAAGTGACAAAGACAAGGAGGGACAGGGAAGGGGACCAACACTTAAAAGCTTGACCCACAAGACTTCCAATGAGAGCTCTTGGGAAACAGGTTTTCCTCCCTTTGAAACTATCAGAAAGGACCTTGCAGGGGCTAGAACAGACAAGTGGCTTTGGTGGCCAGGCCAGCAGCCTTGGAGAGGCTGAGTAACTTCCACCTAAGTGCTGGCAACCACAGGCAGCCGCAGAAGCAGGCAGAGCGGAGAGGCTGAGTAACTGGGCCGTCAGGGCAAAGGCTCCCTACTCTGGCCTTAAGCAAGTTAGGGGAAGTCCGTCTTCATCTAGTTTCTCAGTAATCTGAAGTATGGGCATGACAATGGTAGCTGTGCAGATAAAGTGGCAGAATATATGCAGAACATGAGCACAGTTCCAGCTCATACAAACGTTAGCTATGCTCTTTACTGTCTTTCTCAGCCTGAGGACCAGCCAAGATGCCCTAGGCAGGTATCCTCTCTTCCGACTTCTTCCCTCTTTTCTCTGGTTCTCGGGCCACCTCCTCCCTTGGGCACCTTTTGGATGGCCCCATCCCACCAAACCGAGTTGCTCCCAATTGTCCTAACTCAGCCCTGCTCGGCTTCACAGCCCAGCGAAAAATCCAATTTACCATGGCTGATTTGGGGAGAAAGGGATTCCAATTTTGGATTACTTCCTCAGATGGATGCTTAAGTGGAAGTCACTCTCCACATAATGCAAAACGATGCTTAGTTAACTGTTGGAGGAGAGGAAGCATGAAGAGAAGGGTCTAGCAGAGCACTTTGCTCTGCTTTGCCCTGCTTGTTCTGGGGCCCACTCTCTTCCTCTCCTACTTCATCAGCCAGTCACCTGCCAGCAAACAAACTGCCTACATCAACCAGTTTACAGAGCTACCTCTCCAGGGGTCTGTACCCCCAAAAACCAGGCCGCTGGAAACACCGGGGACACCTACACCCCCACTCCAGACTGGCAGCTCCCTCCTGGAGATGGTGCACCCTCACCTTCCTCTTCTCCCTGAGCTTGGCAGCTTCCTTTGGGTGATTAAAACGAAACATATTGGTTCTTCCCAAGAGTATCACAGCACCTGAGAACACAAAAGCAGCAGTGAATTAGGGTGAGCAGTTTGGTCAGCTGACAACACCAAAGCATGATGCAATTCTACAGCTGACATTAAATTTCCAGTGTACTATAAAGTAATAAGGGAAAGTTTAGTCTCCAAAGTCTGCTTACATAAGTTAAATTTTAAATCTACGAATACTTTTATTTTTACAGCTGGATGTCACAATACTCATGATAATCTGTGTAGAAATGAAGTATCTAAGCCTTAAAACCTCTTATGAGACTCAAAGCCTAATATAGAGGTAATTAGACTTTTCATGTTTGGAAGGAGGAAAAAGCAGTTCCCTAAAGAGATCTAACATCAACCAAGGCATATGGCTACAAATTTTGTAAATGTTTATTAATGCTGATAAAAGTAGAAATCTCAAGGAAAAGTACTTTCAAAAGGACACAGCGAAATTGGCAGAGTTTAGGTAACTATTACTAAAATGACTCTCAGAGTCTGACAGGAAAGAAACTTTCTACATGCATCATGTATTTTCAAAGAAATGTACTAACTAATCTCATCAAAACCCCATTATAATTTAGCTGGCCACATTAGACATTCAAGAACCTCAAAAACCTTCTTTGGCTTGACTAGACATTTAAGAAAGGCTCTTTATTCAGAAAACAATGGCACAGAAGGAAAAGAATTCAAAGCAAATACACAAGGATAACAAAGTCAAGGGCCTGCATAGCAAGGAAGTACAGGGGGATCTCAGTTTGATTAAGCAAACAAACTCCTTCTCAGTTCAAATGTGCCCAAAGCTAGCCCAGGAGGCCTGGAGGGCCTTCAGGTCCCTGTTACTGGAAGTAAGAGAAGCAACGCTGAAGTGATTTGCTTCCTAAAAGGTCCTACTATACCTAAGCATCTACAACACCTCTGGATAAATCCCCATGTTCAGTCTTTCCCTTTAAAAATACAGTACAATGGGCGTGATCACATGTCTACCACCTTAATGACAGTGCAGGCTGGAACAGCTGGACACAGACTTGTACACTGAGGACTGTAGCTGGTCTCACTGGGCAGCTGAGGATAGAGAGGCGCTCTGTAGGGGAAGGGCAAGGAGAAGCTGGGGTCAGACATGAACACAGCCTGCTGTGCGTGGGGCAGAGGGGAGTGAGTCCACCCAACATACAGAATGTCCGAACAACAGCAGGAACTGATACGGTAGCAGAACTGACAATGTAGTAGAAACAGACAGTATGGGTCAGGACACCAGGGGAAAGAGGTTTGACCAGGGGTCACAAACTGGTGGACAGTGATAAAATTCACCTTCCAGACATGTTTTCTATGCCCCATATAGATCAGTTGCCAACAGTTAAAAACCTAGTGATTTCACATACAACTCTGGATTTCTTTCTAGTTACCCTGGACAAAAGTGAAGATGGAGTATCAACAGATCTCTGCTGCCACTCAGCCAAGTCTATGGGCTGCTGATGGCTGCTTCTGATGGACAAACCCCTGGCTGACCACAGTCACCAGCCTCTCGCTTGACCTGCAGGTCATATCTGAAACTAAGACATACATTTCTGAGCTTCAGCCAGGACATCCCCTACCTATGCAGTGTGGTATCTTAGATGTGTCAGAGGATTTTCATACGCAGTGTGGCTAGAACCTAACTTGTCCAGATCTCTCACTGAGGGAGCAGTTCAAGTCTGGTTTTAGTGCTTGTCATTCTCTAGCAGAAACCGAGCCAATTTGAAAAGCAGAAGACAGTTTTAAGAGACCCAAAAGGCCATTGGAGGTTATTATCCATTCGCCTATCTGCTTATCCCTGTCATGTGCAATAGCATTTGTACATGTTCCAATAATGGGAAGGCTCCATTACTATAATTAAGAAAGGTGTTTCCCATGCTTTTTACAACTAAGAGTCAGAGCTACGTGCCTCACTGAAAGTCAAAAGTTAAGCAGCCATGTCTAGGATATATGTATATTTGATGCTCTTAAAGTTACATTAGAGAGGGGCTGGGGATTTAGCTCAGCGGCAAAAGCGCCTGCCTGGCAAGCGCAAGGTCATGAGTTCGGTTCCCGGTACCGGAGAAAAACCAAAAAAAAAAAAAAAAAAAAAAAAAAAGTTACATTAGAGATTAATAAGGCAATCAAATCCCAGGTGTTAATTACATCTAATCCAATTCTTTTTTTTCTCTGTTAATCAAATGGCCGGCCACGCAATTTGAAAATTGCTAAAATATGCTAATAGAAGAATAGAATAGTATTTCAGAGACATATTTCAAGTCATATTAAATCACTGAAAATAATCTTGCCACCAATGGTATTTGCATAAAATACACATTAACAAGCCCTTTAAAGAGTTAAAGAAAGTATAACTATCCATGACAATTCATTAGTTTCATCTAATACATGTCAACTGGCGGGCATGTGAAGGGGCTGTATTAAGCAAGGTTTGTCTCCCCTTCCTCTACAGACCTTTGAGTCAACAAACACTAAATTTAAAAATTTGATTGTTACACAATGTTGCTGTTCATTCATTTATTCAGCAAATCCTTAATGCTTATTGAACACTAGTCATCATGAGAACACAGATGAGCAAGCCAGATACAGTATATGCTTTTCTTTGTGGAGCTTAAACTGACAATAGGAGAGAGAGGTATATAATCAAGTAGTCAGATACAGTAATCAGATGAATGAATGCTGTTATGGTTTGTGCCTAGACGTCCCCCAAAGCCTCATGCAGTCATAGGTGGGGTTTTTTCAGAGCTGGCTGGATCTAAAGTGTGTGATGCTACAGTTAAGAGTGTGTGATTACCAAATTGCTCCACTGATTGGTTTGGCACTGCCCTAATCCTGGTAGCCTAAATACAATACAAAAGGGGCAGAAAGATACTGGTAAGGTCCCTTCCTCGTTGCTTTGCTACCTTCTGCCCACCATGAACTGTTTCTCCTTTGTGATGCCTATCTCCATGCCACCCTGACTTGGAGTCAGCTGATTATGGACTGAAACCTCTGCAAACTGTGAGCTAAATAAAGCTTCCCTCCTTTAACTTTGGGTGTGGGTATTTTGTCTCAGCAATGAAAAAACATAACTAAGACAAAGCAAAGCTGCACCTGAAGGAAAGAGCGATGCTCAGGGCTCACAGAGCAAGGGAAGGGGGTCCGTTGTAAGGCAGCTAGGACAAGTGTTCCATGAGGGAAGCAGTGCTGTAGACAAGCTCTGAGGATGTGTTCAGAGAAAGGCACATGTGAAGGTCCTATGTCAAGAAAGAATGATGAGAGATTGGAAGACAGCCGTGTGGCCTGAAGAAGAAATAAGGAATCTTATTACTGCACAGGGTAATGCTTGACAAAGGAAGTAAGTAAACACCCCAAATCCTTTAGGATATGGTTTAGGCTCTTGTGTTTTATACAGCTGCAATCAGAAAACTCTGCAATAGCACCACATGATTACTTTCAGGAAGATCATTCTCTCAACTGACTGAAGAATGACAAAAGAGGAGTACAAGCAGAAGTAGAGAGACAATGAGGGGCTAACACAACAGTTTGGGTCAAAGAGCATGATGCTTCAGGACAGGGGTAAAGGTAGTGAAGGAGGAAAGCAAATAGGCTGAAAAGCTATTTAAGATACAAACTCCAGGGCCGGGGATGTAGCATAGCAGCAGAGCGTCTGCCTGGCAAGGACAGGTCCTCAGTTCAATTCCCTATACCAAAAAAAAAAAAAAAAAAAGGAGAGAGAGACAAAATCCACTGGATTCAATGATTGCTGTACCCCGGGAAGAGAAGGGAGCTAAGACACCACCCGTGTATTGCATTACCAGCTGTATAACCACACAGACTTGAATACTGGAAAAGAACCAAGGCTGGGGTAGGGGAGAAATCACAGGTTTGGTTTTAAATGAATTTGAGATGCCTTTAGCAAACATAACTGTCTTAGTTACTTTCCTCTCCTTGCTGAGACAAAATACTCAACACCCAAAATTAAGGAAGAAAAGGTTTATTTAGCTCACAGTTTGTGAAGGTTTTAGTCCATACTCGGCTGGCTCCAAGGTAAAGTGGCACATGGCAGTAAAAGACAGCAAAAGCAACAAGAGCAAAAGGGAGAAGCAGTGGCAAGCAGCCTCTTTCCCTTCCTTACACTGCAAAGTATTCATCCCAGGGTGGATATAGCACTCACACCCATAACAACCCAGCATTGGATCATGGATCAATCATAAACTCTAAAAGCCTGCCCCATGACTGCATAAGGCTTTGAGGGGGGACAACCAGACACAAACCATAACAATTATGGGCCCAACGTTCTAAGAAGTAAGACCTGAGATATCTACCTACCTAATAACTGTATATGCATGTATGTATTTAAGCATGTATGTACATGTACCAGAATATTAGGAAAATATATACCATTACTTTCTATATGTTTCAAAGTTCTAATAGATGAAGCCACAAATATAAGAATATTACCAGAGGAGAGAAAAGGGGGGTAGAGGGCAAGAGGACCTAAGACTGGATACCTGGAGGAATGCTGGCCTTTAATGCCAAGTAGAGAAGGAAGGACTTGGAAATGGAGGAGGGGCATCAGGGAGAGAAGGAAAACCCCAGTGCCAAGGGAAGAAGAGGCCTGTGATGCAGAAGTCTGCTGAGAGATCCCATACGATGAAGACAATAGGCCACACTGGGTGTGGTGGCCTTGGTGAGAGCTTAATGGGAAGTGGCCAGAAGCATGGACAGAGGGGTTGAGGAGTGAGTGAGAGTTAAGGAAATGCAGATCTAATGAGTGCAACAGGCCCTCTGAGAAGATCATGCATGAAAAAGGCAGTGCTGACAGTAGCCAGGGTGGAGAAGGTCCACCCCATGGGATGTTTCGTTTTTGTTAAAACTCATGAGTATGTTTAAAAAACAGATGAATGTATTTAAAAATCAGTAAGCAAGCTGAAGAAAACAGAAGCATGAATGAACAAGTGAATGAATAAATAAATGTGTGAATGTGTGAAACACATGAATGAGAATGGCCGATGGTGTGAGGTTTC